AAAATAACAAATTAAAATCAATTACAATAATTAAGTAAATTAAACAATTAAGCTAGTTAAAACATTTAGGATAATTAAAAGGAAAAAAAGCTTTTGTAATAAATTGGAAAACATATATTTTGCAAAAAAGAAAAGTTAAAATTAAACGAGAAGCTCTTTAACGACAATGAGACACAACGGAAATCTCGAAACAGAGTGACCCTAAACAAGATTCTCCCACAGCCCTAGAAATTTTTTGCCCAGAAATCAGACAAAAGGGTGTTTCTGTGGACAAAAGAGCCCACAGCAATTTAAGGAAGCTAAAAACATTTCCCACAGTGTAAATTGAGGCGGCTATTTGACTACTCCATGGAGTACCGCTTTTTAGGATCCATGGACTACTCCCATCACTGGTAGCTACGAAAGCTACAGGATATTTTCATCAGTCAAGATGACTTTTTATTGCTCTTTTGGTAAAAAAAGAGAAGAGTAACAATTATTTTATACTTGTAAACACTTCTATTAGATTTTGAAAAGCGTTCGCCAATGTAGAAAAGAAAAAAATGTATTTTAGGCTTCAGAGGGCTCCAGCTCCGAATAAAACTTTAGAAAAAGAAGGAAAAAGTTGGATCTGGGGGCCCTTGCCATCTCGGGGCCCCAAGCTACAGCTTATTTAGCTTATACGTAAATCCGGCCCTGGTTGAGAGAACAGCCAACCCAATTTAGGGCTCGCGACTGCCAATGTTCAACTCCGTAGCCTTGCAATTTTGAAAGCAATTAAAAAGATAAGGGAACTCCTGGATCAAGTATTGGAAGAAATTTGCCATCGTGGAGGACTTTTTGATGAAACTAACCCGCATTTGCATTACATTGAGAGGAAAAATACGAAAACCTCCCACGGTTAGCCTGATGACAAGGGGACTCTAACCTATGATCTACCTCTGAGGATATTTTACATCATCACTGAAGTAGTGTGAACCGGGGGCGGAATTCGTATCGACTAGCCATCGCTGGGATTCGAACCCACCTCATTAGGAGACGAGGGCTCTATTCCATAAGCCACCACGGCTCTTGGATGGACGAAGATTGAAGCAATTAGCGCTTTAAACATTTGCATCTTTTTACGCATTGAAAGACGGATGAAGAAGTCATCTGTGTTTATTGTATTGCGTTGCTTTGTCGTTATTTTTGCACGTTTCTTATCATCTGGCGATAACGCCACTGTCTGACTATTGCATTAAAGTTCTGGGTTTGGATACTCCTAGATAATGATATGAAACGTTTATTGTTCAAGGTTTTAATTATAGGATTAAATTCCAGTCACTCACCGCTGGGAATAAAAATGGATCCCGAGGGTGTCCTTGCCAAGCAAGAGGCAAAATCTTGCTCATTTTCTCTCAGTTGGTTTTCTTGGATGTTGTCTCCGGTATTGAGAGCGTTGTTATTAGCTCCTAAACTTTGTGGCACTTTGCTACCGGTCTTACCCATCGATAGCTTATGGGAGGTGACTAGACTGGATGAGTTATCCATTAGACCTAAATCAGAGAGGAAAAAAACAATACTTGTCAGTATCTTCTACATCCACACACACGAGAAAGGTTCCAAAATCTCTGGAAATGACAATAAACAAACTAGATATATAAGATCCTAAACAACGCATGGAGCTGTGCAGTGTGCTCTATATATTTCGCCTTTAATGTCTGAATATTTAGAATCCTTGTTTGCAGTTGTTAAAATTTTATAAGTTAGGTGTCACAAATTAACGACAAACGAGGAAAAAAAAACCGAAAACAATATAGAATTGTAACTAATCACAACAGAGGTTAGCAGGACTGTAAAATTAGAACTTGTTTTGATTGCTGGAAAAAACAGGGAGCAGATTATTGAAAATACATTTGAGTTTTATCAAGCAATCAAACTGGTTTTGATTTGGTTCTTCCCATTTTTCTCTCAGTTGTTTCAACAGCTTTCGATAGCTTTTTTGTTTTTTCCTCGTTTAGACATTAATCTACGGATTCCCAATACATGTTTTTTTTTGCTTCATTCCTTACGAGAATTTTAAATATATATATTAATAGCTATTAAGAGCATATTAAGGGAAATATTATGTAAAAATATTATGAAATATTAGAAAACGCATACATAGACAATTTTTTTTTTTTGAGAAAAATAATTGAAAAAATCTTTATTTGTTCAACTAATGCATTTTTGCTTACTTGTATCTCCCCTCCCCCTATTTAAATTCACGTAATCCCAACTCTTTCTGGTACTTTGTTGTCAAATAAAAGCTTAACCGACTCGTTTTTTTGTCCCACTGTAAACAGCATTGATAGTTTGATTAGACAGGAAACAAGTTTTTGTTTAATATTTTATTATAATTTTTTTGAACGATGCAGATCAAAAAAAGAACAAATTATAAGTTTAGAGTCTAGGGGCGAAACATAAACAAGTTTTTAAGAAATATAATTTAAATTTTTTTCTAGAACAGCAGCTTTTAATAATAGCATATAAATATCAGCAAAATTTGGTAAATATTTACCAGTCAGCAAGGAAGTTGGCAAACAAATTTTTCAAATAAAAAAAAGAATAAGTGCAAAGAGAAATTATAATGTGGAACTAAATTATTCTGTCATCAAATTATTCTTGTGAAGCATTCGCTATAAAATCGTTTTCTCCCATTTTTTGTCTGAGTGATTTTAGGCGACAAAACATGGTACGGATCATTACACATGGTATAAGTTTTCTATTTCAATTCTTTTTTACTTTGGTTATGTGCCAAAACCATCGGAGCTGATTGTCCATTCCGTGAGATGAAAGCATCCATTTTTTAGATTCTTGTATGTGGTTAGGGGATAATTGTTATCACCCATCACTGTTATGATTTATCATGGGGAAATAAGTTTGAAAGTGAAAACTTCGGTTGGCTTCTACAACTTATTCAAATTGGCTTTTTACTGATTGGATAAGAGCCAAAATTGCATTTAGAAAATTCACTTTAATGTCTTTATGGAATACGCTTTTAAGTATAAGTTGTTTTTTCCTTTTTTAAATGATAAGTTATTTAAAAACGTACCGAAGTATTTTCATTTATGTACTGCTTAAGTGTTGAAATCAAATATTCTGCAGATTATCTAGCTAATGTGTAAATTAATTACACTTTTAGAAATTTCAGGGTGGAAAGATGGTTAAATTACGATTTATCTAATTGTTATTTTAATATATTCAAGCAAAACAGTCATATAACCATAAATAAGATGATATTCAAACTGTTAACTGGGAGAAAAATGGTTTATTAAGTGCTTTCACCTGATACGGTTAAACACGAAGCACCAACTAAACCCACCTAATGAAGCCCCTTAGTTTCATGCAACTGATTACATATTATAGCCGAGAGGGCTATAGTCTGTCAATCCTACAGAATGGGGTTCGACTCTCAGTGTTGACACCACAATATTTCCATCAACGCATGAATACTTTTGCGTGTCATGCACTACCCAATTTGTTACCCTGAGCTATTAGAATACGATATTCTCACTTACACATAGATGGCAGGACCAGAAAGCTTCTAAACTATCTCCAATGTCGAGTTAAATTTTTTTTACGGTTTTGAAACCACGCTAGTTATAAATGGTTAAAAACTGTTTAGTTTATATTCATGCTTTTTTTTACCATACTGGTCGTAAACGGTTTCAAAACCGTTAATGTTAAAAATGTCCTTTACCGTAAACTTTACGGTTAATGAAGGACAATCTGCTGCCGGAAATTTTACCGTAATTTCAGTATGAAAATTCTAACTGTGTACTTAAACAAAATCAATGACGCAATAATAGTAGCAGAAGATAATGTTGCAACAAGTAAAAGTAATTAATAAAGATGAATGGTATGATAATTTTTTAACATATATTTGCTACCTTGGACTATACGAGTAAGATACTCTCATTCACTCAAAGATTACAGCACCATAAAGCTGCTTAATACAAAAAAGTCTAGCATTTCCCAACTCTTATGATAAGGTGAAGCAACTAGATAAACTAATAAAACCACATTTCTTTGTTCATTTGATAAAACACAACTTAACCACAACCTAATTCCAATGCCCATTATTTAGCAAAAAGCCTAGATCCCAATGTCCAGTTAAATTTCTTTCTCACGATTTTGAAACCATGTAAATGGTTGAAGATGTGAATGGTTAAAGAAAAACCTATAGTTTTGTATTCATTGTTTCTTAACCACACTGGTCGTAATTATAACTGCATACCAACAGCAAGGCACAGTCACGAGTGAGTGCAAACAATTATAAAAACACGGATTTTATAAAGTCGTTTAGATTTAAAATTGTATTTTATTTTTTATTTAAATAGCATTTTTCACACTTTTTGATAAATAAATATTTCTTTATTATTAACTAAATTTGAAATAAATTTGATAAATTTGATAAAATTTGAAATCTAGTTCTGACATTTGTAAATAAAAAAAAGAGCGTTAAGTGAATGTGCAATCGGAGTCGTTTAGATTTAAAATTGTATTTTATTTTTCATTTAAATAGCATTTCTCACACTTTTTGATAAATAAATATTTCTTTATTATTAACTAAATTTGAAATAAATTTGATAAATTTGATAAAATTTGAAATCTAGTTCTGACATTTGTAAATAAAAAAAAGAGCGTTAAGTGAATGTGCAATCGGAGTCGTTTAGATTTAAAATTGTATTTTATTTTTCATTTAAATAGCATTTCTCACACTTTTTGATAAATAAATATTTCTTTATTATTAACTAAATTTAAAATAAATTTGATAAACTTTGAAATCTAGTTTTGACATTTGTAAATAAAAAAAAGAGCGTTAAGTGAATGTGCAATAAATAATTACGTCTGCAAGGCAACACCAAGGTACTGTCACGAGCGAGTGCAAACAATTATAAAAACACGGATTTTATAAAGTCGTTTAGATTTAAAATTGTATTTTATTTTTCATTTAAATAGCATTTTTGATAAATAAATATTTCTTTATTATTAACCAAATTTAAAATAAATTTGATAAAATTTGAAATCTAGTTTTGACATTTGTAAATAAAAAAAAGAGCGTTAAGTGAATGTGCAATAAATAATTACGTCTGCAAGGCAACACCAAGGTACTGTCACGAGCGAGTGCAACTTCTGATCCCGTGTAAGTAGCATCGGAGTTAATGGCATCTTCATCATCGGACGAGTTAGAGGAAGAGAGTCCAGAGAGTTGTTGGTGTAATCGCCTTGGTTGATCAGATCCCAACATCCCAGGATCCCAATCTTCTCGATCCCCCGGGGCTTCCCGGAAGTGGTGGCCACCTGCGTACTGTGGCTGTTGAGACGGTGGTTGCTGCACTTGATCTTGAGATTTCTGTCTAGAGTTTAATCGACCTATAAAAAAAGGGAAAAAAATATAATGTCAATTGTTTGCACTTTAAAGATTGATCTTTATAGATACTTTTCAGTTACAACTTACTGCTAATACAATACAAAACAATATTTGCTACATATATCTATTTCATAGTCACAGGACATTAGCTGATAGATTTTCACTTGGTTGGTTTTCACGAATTAGTAATGCTATAAATGATAAATAATGTAATAAATAGCTGCAACAAAAACTTTTTCCTGTAAAAACATAACAAAGAAATGGATACACTACTAGTGCGTTTTATTTATTGAAATGTAACAGAGTAATAAATATTCGATTTCACTATCGTTGGATGAAAGGAATAAAGTTATTGCAGTTTCATTTATTAACTGAAATAGGAAGCTTTATACAGTGAAATATTACGTTGGCAAAATCGTTTGCTTTTAATAATCAAAATCGTTTCATATTTAAAACCATTTGCTTTAACTATTCATAATTGTTAATTTAAAATAGCTTAAGCATTTACAATATAGCTTGAATAAAACAAGTGGTTTGAAAAATAAGTTTTATAATATAGCACAATCAAAGCGATATCTTTTGACAAATATTTTACCGTTATACGCATCTTTGGAAGTAATAGGCAACTTAAAGGCGTATTTTGAATCTGAAATGATTCTTGAAAAGTCTCAAAATATCTGAAACATTCCTTATTTTAATTTTATTCATCTGTGTTTTTATATTCAAAATTTAAATTTTGTTGGCAATAGAAATTTTAGCTAGACATATAACATGATGAAGAATTGTTTTAAATTTGTCGCAAGTATAAATAATGCATTATTTTTACTCTCAAATTGTTTTAAAGTTAAGTATTGCAGAATGTAAAGAAATTTTGAGGGTTATTTAATATATTACATTAAATAAGTGAACCATATATATGTATTTTCTGTAAAAAAAGTATTGTTAGAAACTAAAATTTATATACAAAACTTAATATGGAATATTAGTTTTTCATTTAAGTAAGTTTTCGCTTGAAACTTTATTTTTAATTATATTCCATAATAAGAAAATAATGCATATCTCTGGGAAAAGTCTGTACGAAATCAATAATAACTCTTAACATTCAATTTTCAGTCACAAAAATTAACTAAAATCTAAATTCTTCCGAATATAATGTCTAAATTTATTTACTCAAAATTCATTAAAATACAAAATTCATTAAAATTTCATTCCTTGCAAACTTTTTGCTCTTACAATTAAACGCAATATATATAATTAAATAGACACTTTCTTAAAAAATTATTTCAACAAAAAGTAATTTAAAAAAAATGTAAAATTATTTTTTTTAATAGTATTTAAAGTATGCCCTTAGGAACTTTAAATGAAATGTAAACATATAAATTCAAAAAACAAATATTTATGTATTTCTGAAAAAGAATATATTGTGAGTAGCGGCTTGAAAAAATGAGTGACATGTTTAGAGTAGATATTAATTATTAAAGTAAAAACTATAAAAAAATACTTTTAAAAGAGAGAACTAATAAATTTAAAAGCTACGTCCGAAATTAAGGTTTTTAATTTCAAAAGTCTGACTAGAAATTAAAAGAAGTCAAAACTAAAACACTAATTGTTCAATCTAATTTATATTTATATATACCAGCAGCGTTTATTATATTAGTTATAAACATTATGTTAGTTAAAAAATACAGAATTGGTCCCAGTAGAATAGAATTATTTTCAGTTAGTGAAATATATGAACATAAAAAAGATTTATGCATATTCAAAAATAAGCAACTGTTAAGGTTTATTAGTTAAAGCTAATAGTTATTTTTGCCGTTGTCTTGTCGATTTTAGTACGAAATATTTCCAACAGTTTGGAGGAAAGCTAAGAATTAAAAAAAAAAAAAAATGCAATTAAATTTTAAAGAGAGAGCTAATAAATTCAAAAGCAACGTCTGACATAAATTTTTTTAATCTCAAAAGGCAGCTTATAAATTAAAAAAAAAGAAAGCAATAATAAAGCAAAGCTTGTTTTAACTATAAAATATTTTAAGACCTCAATTTTTTTTTCTCCTCATAAATTCATAATTCAAAGAACATCTATATATTGTTGCCCCTGAAACAAATACCTCCCCAGACACCGTTCAAGTGTATGCTTAAAACAAACTCAAGAAACGCTTTAAACTATCTGGAGATTTAACATAAGGGAGGAAAAGTACATACAGATTCTACCCACTTTCAAGAATCTATAATATAACCGTTAAGGTTTTACTATTCTGAGAGAGCTGCGATATCTTTTTATCTTTCGCGTTCCTATAACAAGAGTCGTTCTCGACATCGTAAAAGGCCTTTTAGTCATCGATATTTTACTCTTCCTTTACCGTTCTAAATCAATAATTTAACTGCTCTTTTAACAGCCCAGAGGTGCTGGGACGGCCGTTATTTACAATCTTTCAAGCTATGCAAGTTATGGAGACGATGCAACTCCGGAAAGGGTATTTTGGCGCAGTTCTTATCATTCTAAGGAAGAAAAAAAATGATGTTAGTAGGAATTTAAATTATTCGATCTCGAAAGAGAAATCTGCTGTTTTACTTCTTTTTCTTAATTTATTTCTGCTTGGATTTAGGACATGCAATATTGGCTATTGAAATTTAATGAGGAAAAAGAATTAAAGTATTGCCTTATGTTTTCCGATTTAATACTTATTTCGAAAGAAAAAATATTTGCTGATAATTTCGAAGTACTTAAATGTAATGCACCATTAAAAATGTAAAAGTAAAGTTCGGAATTTTCGTAACTTTTTGATGTTTAAAATCTATTTTAAAATAAATAAATGCATTTTTGTTATACGCATAAAATATTCTGTTATTATATGTATAAGTGTCAGTTTCAAAGCTTTTATTGAATTATTTTTATTTTCAATTCAGTTTATATACTAGACTAGACTATGCCATATTTTTAAATTAAGATGAAACAATTTCGAACGCTATATTGATATTTTTTTGTACGATAAATCTGGTAACATTTTCTCGAATCAAACATTTTAAAAGGAATAATTTTTTTTTTGAAAGAATAAATTTTTAAGAATATTTTTAAACGAAAAGATAAAGCAATGTTCTTAAATAAGGTTGACTATATTCATAAAAAATATTTTAAAAGTTTGTTCAAAATTTTACGCTTAGAAATTAAAAAGTATTTGATTTTTAGTAAGTATTTTATTTATTGTAACTATATTTTTAGTGCATACATTTCAATAAAGTTCATTTAAAAGTGAGCTACGAAAAGTTTTGTTTTAAAAACTTTTATAAAAATAATGAGCTAGTTTTTTTTGCTAGTTTAATTATGCGTATCCAAATTTAATCGACACCTTCCAAATGTTTGTTATGGGGAAAATATGGGAAATATGTGGGCTTATGAATTAAACTGAAGAAAAACTTATAAAACCATTTCATTGTAATAATCAAAGTTTATTTATACAACAAATGTTTAGAAATATACAAACAATTGCATCCAATTATGGATTATTGTTAAAATATTTTCAAATTTTTTTTTTCTTCTAAAAAATAGTTTTCATTTAAAAATATTTTATTTTTGCGTTTGGAAACATTAGCAAATGACGTCTTATAATCATGTTGATATTATAAGGTCAAAGAAATGTTTTAACAACTTTCTTCCTTTCTCAAAAAAAGTAAAACTATTTACTTCACAATAGGCAGTTACTTTTTAAAAATCCCTAAAATTGGTTTTTCAAACATTACATTAAAAAAAATCTCTGAAATAATGAAAAAAAAAACATTACCAAATATCGTAAATAATTTTTTTTAATAATTAATTATGTTGACATTATAAGGTCAAAGAAATGTTTAAGCAACATTCATTATTTTGAAAATAAAAGTGAAAATATTTACTTAAACACAATGAGTAGTTAATTTTTTTAAACCCCTACAATCCGTTTTTCAAATGTTACATTAAAATACCTTTTTTATAATAAAAAAAAAAGAAAAAACGCTAGAAATGATTGTAAGCAATTTTATTTAATAAAACTGGATATTTCTAAAACCATTTTTCTCCTAAATGTTTAGTAAAACAAAACTTTTCATCGTTTTTAGGTTTTAAGTGATTAGTTACAAAACAATTTATTTTGTTTCAAATATGCTAATAAATTAATTAATGATCATAACTTTTTAATAAATCTTAACGAATTAAATGAAACAAGAATAAATAGCTTAAAAAAATCTGATTTCCACAAATTTTTCAATTAACTTAGAGAATATTCAATCACGAATATGTCACAGCCAATAATTTGTCAGGTCACTTACATTTCGAACAATGCCTGAATAAAATAAAAACATGACAGTCTCGATTCTATAAGTTTGGGAACCTTGTAATGGGAGATAAATGGTTGGATGGCTACGGCTTCAGTAATAAAGTTTGGCCAATCTACAATAAAAGGAAGTGAATTCCGATATTTTTGGCGAGATTCCACGTATGAAGCGCGCCATGCATTGCACTTGGAAATTCACCGCAAAGAAAATTTCCATAATGGAAAAAGTTTTGATCGTAATGAAAACAGCCTTATCAGAAGAAAATCAGGTCAATGTGTAATAATAATTTAGTAGGGTGTGTCTCTTTTTTTAAATTTTTGTTCTTCTCAGAATTGTTAATTTCTTAAATATCAGTTCATTTAATTATTTGTCAGAACATTAGGAGAATTTCTAAATTTTTTCCATTAAATATATATATTTTTTCGTTCTCAAGAAATTGCAACAGATTTTCTAAGCAAAGCTCGTAGCGTTCTATTAAAAATAGAAGAAAAAAACATGCCTGGAGAATTAAGTAATTATTTTTGGGTGAAAGTAGATATTTTGACTACCAGTAAGAGTTAATAAAATAAGTGATCCATGAGCATAGTTAGCTCTAAACATAGTGACGTTTTTAAAATAAATTGTCTACTTTAAAAATATTGCTAATTTGTATTTGAGAAATATAACTTTGATTAATGTTTTGAAATATTTATTTTGT